AGTTATACAAACAATAAACCTAGACAGTGTAGTTACGTATACAATATACCTAGACAGTGAAGGTATAGGAACATAAGAAAATAAGGAGTCTGCAATAGGCCGGTTGGGCTGTGCGTGGCAGCTCCTGTCGAGAGTTACTACCACTCTATCATCCATAAATCTATCTAGCCTTCTTTTAAAACTTTACAGCGTCCCAGCACTTACTACAAAGTTGCTAAGCTTGTTCCACTCGTCCACCAATCTATTTGTGAACCAGTTCCTTCCTATCTCCCTTCTAAACCTAAACTTATCCAACTTAAATCCGTTGCTACGAGTCCTATCCTGCTCGGATATTATAAGAACTTTATCTATATCCCTTTTTTATTCTTCACCCACTTAAATACTTCTATCATATCTCCCCGCACTCTTCGTCTTTCTAAGGAATGCAAGTTTAGTTTCTTTAACCTATCCTGATATGGTAGGTTTCTAAGTCCCGAATTCATTTTCGTCATTCTTCGCTGCACCGATTCCAGTGAATTGATATCCATTCTATAATAAGGGCACCAGAACTGAACAGCATAATCGAGATGCGGCCTGACTAGCGCAAGATATACTCGTAGTTGCAATATGACCTCCGCACTCTTATTACTTACACTTCTAGATATAAAACCTAATACTCTGTTTGCTTTATTTCGAACATTAAGGCACTGTTTTCTAGGCCGTAGGTCCGGGCTTACTAGTACCCCGAAGTCTCTTTCACAAGTCGACTTCTCTAGGTTGATGTTGTTAAGGCTGTATACATTGACAGTATATGTTCTTCCAATATTAAGTACGCTGCACTTGCTGGTGTTGAATATCATTTGCCAGTTTTCTGACCACTCCTGCAGTTTATTTAAATGCTCCTGTAGTGTATTTGCATTCTGCCCTGAATTAATCCTCCGCCCTATTTTGGTGTCATCCGCAAACTTGTTTATGTCACTGCTGATCCCAGTTTCTAGATCGTTTATGTACTGTAGATTATGAACAAGAGTGGGCCCAGTGCTGACCCCTGGGGAACCCCACTAGTTACACGGCCCCACTCAGATTTAACACCATCTAATAATAATAATAATAATAATAATTAACGGTTTATTGAAAGAGCTTGGCAGCCAGAAGGCTGAAAATATACAGTTACATATTTGGGGAATGGGTTTCGAATTACAAATAATATACAAATGGCATAAGTATTACAAATAAGATATATAATAACTAGATGGGGAAAAGCTCCAACTACAGTGCATTTCAACATAATTGTGAGTGCAAGTAGTACTTACTGGGAGTGAATACACTGGTTTATTACAAGTTATTGATAATTTTTACAATGGTTGGGACTGGGCTGTTCTTATAGCGATCAGTTCATTATGGGCTGGATGCGGTTGTGGTTGTCGAACTAGCAATTCTCGGGCTATGGATCTCAGGTGGTAGTTGGGCCGGTGTCGAGGATGGTGTAGAAGCTTCTTACCAAATTTGCAGATGAGGTCGTGGTGATGGTCAGTGAGAGTCGAAAGGGTCAGTGTGTTGAGCCTTCTTGATATGTGGGTAGGAATGGGAGAGAATAATCTTGCATGCCCTCTTTTGCACTTTTCTAGGTGTTTACGTTGTGTGGCATTTAGGAGGAAGACCAGGTAGGGGAGGCATAGGTGAGCTTGGGAAGTATGTGAATGTTGTGTAAACACTGAGGGCTCGCGTGCAGGAACTCCGAGGGACTTGGAGTCGGCGGAGGGAGGTGGAGACAGGAAGCTGGAGGATTTGACAACTTCACTGACGTGTGGTTTCCAATTTAGTTTGTTGTCTATGGTGACGCCGAGGAGCTTCGTGGAATCTACAACCTGGAGTGTGTTCGGACCTAAAGTAATGGAAGGAGGTGGGACAATGTCGAGGAGAGGTTGATATTATAACCATGGTCTTGGTATGGTTGATGGTGACATTGTTGTTGGTGGCCCAGTTTGGAGACTGTTCAATAAATCTGAAGGGCGGTATAGTCGGGAGCAGAGGGTGACGCTGATCCCAATGGTGGAGTCGTCGACATATTTCCAGCGAGCAGGAGTTTCTCTTAGGGCATCATTGATGAGCATGAGAGCAGAGTGATCCTATCTTGGTGCTTTGGGGGACGCCACAGGTGAGTGACTGAAAGGTGGGGAACAGCCCTCGAAGCATACAGCTTGGCGTCGGTCACTGAGGAAGTCTGTAAGCCATGGTATAGACTTCTCCGAAGCCCGAGGTCAATAGCTTTGTTGATGATTATATTGTGATTGACTAGGTCCGAATGCTTTAGTGAAATCAATGGAAGGCGACAGCTACAGACGTTTTTCGTTTCTCGAGATGGCGGTATATATGTCGAAAGCTGACAGACGGTGAGTGGTGGAGGAAGTTTTCATGTGTTGCCAAGTGCTGAGGGGTCTACGACTCCTGCAATATCAGCATAAGCCCAGTCGAACACAAAACTTTCACAGATTAGGCTGGGTATTGGGGTGATTGCAATAGGTCATGCTGATTTAGAGATTGTGGGCTGGTTGACTTGGGCACTGGTGATACAGAAGAGGTCTTCCAGTCAATGGGCATCTGGCTGACTGAGAAGCATTGATGATGATGGAGCATAGGTGTTTGCTTAAGCTCAGGGAGAACTCCTTGAAAAGTTTCATTGGTAAGTCAGTAGGGGGTGGTAGAGCGTTTTTTAATTTTTAGTTTGTCCAGGCGTTTTGCTACTTCAAATTCTTCTATAAGTCAGTGGGAAGGGGGCTGTGGTAGGTAAGCAGGAGAGTGGATTTGTGTCAAGCCGGGAGAGCGTCTGGCATATAGTAGCGAAATGGTTGGTTGATTGCTCAGGTGCGTCAACATTGAGTAGGATGGCTGAGGAAGGGGAGGGTGTGTCTTATTGTTTAGTCCACAGAGTTCTTTAGCTTACCATTCCATTGACTGATGTTGGTCTGCTTCAGGTGTTGTAATTTGGTTGAGTGGGACTTCTTTTGCAGTGCGTATTTCGCGGATGACTCGGTTGAAGGGACCTGTAGCGAATAGTCATTGAGATGAAAGCTCTATGTCTCTCTGTTGCGCCATCTTTTGATCCGAGGTGTGATCCAGGGCAAGTCAGCTGGGTGAGATCTGACTGGACTTCTCGGGAAGAAGTGGTGGTGACTTCCGTGGTGGTGCTGGTAAAAATTTATCCATTTGGTTTCCACGTCATCCACGCTAAGTACTTCAGTCCAGGGATGGTGAACTATCCACTGCCGAAGAGGCGCACTGCAGAGTCAGTAATCGGCCTGTATACGTCTTGATGTAGGGTCTGTACTTGGTGGAGTGGCACCTGGGGGACCCCAGAGCACTGATAAGTGTGTGCTACACACACCCGATAGGAGGCATTGGTTGGAGGTGGTTGGTACTGTGGTCCCTTTAAGTCCCTAGTTAAGATAAGGTCAGGGTATTTTGACCGTGTGTGGGGAAGTTCACAACTTGTGATAGTGATAGCTGGTCCTGGGTATCAGTGGTGTCAATTTCGTATAATCCCCACATAATACTAACTTGGCACATGGGTACCTAACTCTGAGGTGATCTGAGGTGGTAATGAGATGATTGATAAGAGTGTCTCGGTGGGTGACCCTCTGTGTTCTATCGGTGAGCCATGATTTGATCCAATTTAAAACTTTCCCCTCGATATCATGAGCCTTAACTTTTCTCAGAAGCCTTTGATGCTGTATTCTACCAAACGCTTTGCGAAAGTCTAAGTAAATAACATCCGTATTTTCGTCGTATCTTCTACTACCTCGAAGACTTTCCGATAAAACGACAGATTTGTTAGACAAGATTTTCACTTTGTATATCCATGTTGAGAGTCGTAGATTAATTTGTTTTTCTCTTAATGTGATCGGATGCTATTTGTATTTATTCAAGAAATTTCCCCACTACCGACGTCAAACTAATCGGCAGATAATTTGACGTTGATGCTCTGTCTCCCCTTTTGAATATGGGTACTACATTTGCCTGTTTCCACAAGTCTGGCACAACTCCCGTGTCAATTTCAATTGTTTATTCCTTGATAGAGAGAGCGGGGGATCCTTGTGCTGTCACTAGGCGGTTACCCTGTACATTAACACCAGAAGCATATTTCTTTAACACACCAATCGATGTTATTTACATAATAATAGCCCACGTATTGGGAGGATCATGGAGTATGCTCAGTCAGGGGGTTGTGGAGTGGTGGTCCAGCAGGCGTCACGGAAGCGTTGTGTGTGGGGACATCTTAGGAGGTAGTGGATAAGGGTGCGGCTGTCGGGTCTTCTGCATGTGCACAAGACTCCCGTGTCTAATGATTTTGTAAATAAATTTACGAGGGATCCGCTAACCTGTTCCTTACACTCTTCCAAAACTAGAGGGAAAATTTCATCAGCCCTGGGGATTTTGTCTTATTTAATGTATTTATCTTCTTAAGAACATCCTTTTTTTCTGATAGTGATATCCTTTAGTTTCTCTTCTTCATTTCCCTTAAATATAAGTTCCATCTCAGCATTTCTTTGTGAATTTCTTCTGTAAAGACTGATAAGTAGTAGCTGTTTAATGCTTTGCTTATTTTCTCACTTTCATTGAACACTTCCCCTCTCTCTGATTTTAAAGGCCCCACTTTGTGCTTGACCTTTGTCCCATATACCTGGAAAAATCCCTTGAGATTCGCCTTGGATTCTCTTGCTATCCTGATTTCGTAATCCTCTTTTGCTTTCCTTACATTTTTCTTAAAATTCCCAGAGAGTTTATTTTACCTTTCTCTGAGCTGCTCCTCCCCTCCCTTTAATTTCTTATAAATTCCTTTCTTTATTCCTATGTCATGTTTAAGTTTTGGGTCATCCACCTCGGCTCATTCTTATTTGACCTAATTTTTCTGGATGGTATATTTCGTTTCTGTGCTTTACGTAGTATACTAGTGAATATATTATAGTCATGATCAATTGTTGTGTCGCCGGTGACCTCACCTATTCCTACCGGGGACTGACCTGACTGTTCTGAGGCTACTTCACCAAGGTACCTTCTAAACCCATCATAATCCGCTGTTAGAAAGTCTGGGACTCTGACCATATTGTCATAATTGTTCGTTTCCCAATTTAGGGGGAACCTGATTTCTCTCATGATCACTGTTCCCTAGTTCTTCCCCTACTGTGATAACTCCTGATAATATTTTCTTTATTTGTTAATACTAGGTCTAATATATTGTGTAGGTATACAATCAATATACCTAGACAGTGTAGATATACAATATACCTAGACAGCGTAGGTATCCAATATACCTAGACAGTGTAGGTATACAATATACCTAGACAGTGTAGGTATCCATCATATATACCCCTGAACAGTGTGGGTATTCAATATACCTAGGCAGTGTGTGGTTATCCAATATACCTAGACAGTGTAGGTATACCCAATATGCGTGAGCCAGTGCTTGAGTATACAAACAATATGCCTAGACAGTGTAGGTATGCAAATATACCTAGACCAGTGTAGATATACCCAGTATACCTGGAGCCAGTGTAGGTATACCAATATACCCTAGACAGTGTAGGTATACAATATACCTAGACAGTGTAAGTATAAAAAATATGCCTAGACGGTGTGGGTATACAATATGCCTGAACTTGGTGTAGATATACAGTATACCTAGGCAGTGTGGTTATATAATATGCCTAGACAGTGTGGAGCCACCCAATACTCACCTGAACAGTGTAGGCATACAATATGCCTAATGTAGGTATACAAACAATATGCCTTGAACAGTGCAGGTATGCAATGCCTAGACAGTGTAGGTATACAATTTACCTAGACAGTGTAGGTATACAATTTACCTGGAGCAGTGTAGGTATACAAAACAATATACCTAGACAGTGTAGGTATATAATTTACCTGGTAGGTGGTATACAATATACCAAGACAGTGCAGGTATACAAGCAATATACCTAGACAGTGTACGTATACAATATACCAAGACAGTGCAGGTATACTATATACCAAGACAGTGCAGGTATACTATATACCAAGACAGTGTAGGTATACAATATACCAAGACAGTGCAGGTATACAAGCAATATACCTAGACAGTGTAGGTATACAATATACCAAGACAGTGCAGGTATACAATATACCAAGACAGTGCAGGTATACTATATGCAAGACAGTGCAGGTATACTATATACCAAGACAGTGCAGTGCAATATACCAAGACAGTGCAGGTATACAAGCAATATGCCTGAACAGTGCGGGTATACTATATGCAAGACAGTGTAGGTATACTATATACAAGACAGTGCGGGTATACTATATATATACCAAGACAGTGCAGGTATACAAGCAATATACCTAGACAGTGCAGGTATGCTATATACCCAAGACAGTGCAGGTATACAATATACCAAGACAGTGCAGGTATACGTATACCAAGACAGTGCAGGTATACTATATACCAAGACAGTGCGGGTATACAATATGCAAGACAGTGCAGGTATACAATATACCTAGAGCAGTGTAGGTATACAATATACCAAGACAGTGCGGGTATACAAGCAGCTATACCTAGACGGTGTAGGTATACAATATGCAAGACAGTGCAGGTATGCAAGCAATATACCTAGACAGTGTAGGTATACAATATACCAAGACAGTGCAGGTATACAGTATACCTGGAGCAGTGTAGGTATACTATGTATACCAAGACAGTGCAGGTATACTATATACCAAGACAGTGCAGGTATACAAGCAATATACCTAGACAGTGCAGGTATATACTATATACCAAGACAGTGCAGGTATACAATATACCAAGACAGTGCAGGTACATACAATATACCAAGACGGTGGTATACTATATACCAAGACAGTGCAGGTATACTATATACCAAGACAGTGCAGGTATATACAATATACCAAGACAGTGCAGGTATACAAGCAATATACCAAAGACAGTGCGGGTATACTATATACCAAGACAGTGCAGGTATACTATATGCGGGAACAGTGCAGGTATACAATATACCCACTAGACAGTGTAGGTATACAATATACCAAGACAGTGCAGGTATACTATATACCAAGACAGTGCAGGTATACTATATACCAAAGACAGTGCAGGTATACAATATACCAAGACATTGCAGTTATACAAGCAATATACCAAGACAGTGCAGGTATACTATATACCAAGACAGTGCAGGTATACTACTATATACCAAGACAGTGCAGGTATACAATATACCAAGACAGTGCAGGTATACTGCCATACCAAGACAGTGCAGGTATACTATATACCAAGACAGTGCAGGTATACTATATGCCAAGACAGTGCAGGTATACAACCATACCTAGACAGTGTGGTATACAATATGCAAGACAGTGCAGGTATACAATATGCCAAGACGGTGCAGGTATACTATATACCAAAGACAGTGCAGGTATACTATATACCAAGACAGTGCAGGTATATATACCAAGACAGTGTAGGTATACAAGCAATATACCTAGACAGTGTAGGTATACAATATACCAAGACAGTGCAGGTATGCTATATACCAAGACAGTGTAGGTATACAATATACCAAGACGGTGTGGGTATACAATATACCAAGACAGTGCAGGTATACAATATATCAAGACAGTGCAGGTATACTATATACCAAGACGGTGCAGGTATACTATATACCAAGACAGTGCAGGTATATATACCAAGACAGTGTAGGTATACGTATGCAAGACAGTGCAGGTATACAAGCAATATACCTAGACAGTGCGGGTATACTATATGCCAAGACAGTGCAGGTATACTATATACCAAGACAGTGGTATACAATATACCAGAAGACAGTGCAGGTATACTATATGCAAGACAGTGCAGGTATACTATATACCCTGGAGCAGTGCAGGTATACAATATACTAAGACAGTGCAGGTATGCAAGCAATATACCTAGACGGTGCAGGTATACTATATACCAAGACAGTGCAGGTATACAATATACCAAGACAGTGCGGGTATACTATATACCAAGACAGTGCAGGTATATATATGCCAAGACAGTGCAGGTATACTATATACCAAGACGGTGCAGGTATACTATATACCAAGGCCGGTACGGGGTATACAATATGCAAGACAGTGCAGGTATACAAACGTATGCAAGACGGGTGCAGGTATACTATATACCAAGACAGTGCAGGTATACTATACCAAGACAGTGCAGGTATACAATATACCTGGAGCAGTGTAGGTATACAATATGCCAAGACGGTGCAGGTATACAATATACCAAGACAGTGCAGGTATACTATATACCAAGACAGTGCGGGTATACTATATACCAAGACAGTGCAGGTATACTATATACCATGACAGTGTAGGTATACAAGCAATATACCTGAACAGTGTAGGTATACAATATACCAAGACAGTGCAGGTATACTATATACCAAGAACTTGGTGTAGGTATACAATATGCAAGACATTAATAGGTATACAATATACCAAGACAGTGCAGGTATACAATATACCAAGACAGTGCAGGTATACTATATACCAAGACAGTGCAGGTATACTATATACCAAGACAGTGCAGGTATACTATATACCAAGACAGTGTGGGTATACAATATACCAGACAGTGCAGGTATACAAAACTGTATACCTAGACAGTGCAGGTATACTATATACAGACAGTGCAGGTATACTATATACCAAGACAGTGCAGGTAGCAATATGCAAGACAGTGCAGGTATACTATATACCAAGACAGTGCAGGTATACTATATACCTAGACAGTGCGGGTACAATATACCAAGACAGTGCAGGTATACAAGCAATATACCCTGGAGCCAGTGCAGGTATACTATATACCCAAGACAGTGCAGGTATACTATATACCAAGACATTTTGAGTATACTATATACCAAGACAGTGCAGGTATACTATATACCTAGACAGTGCAGGTATGCAAGCAATATACCTAGACAGTGTAGGTATACAATATACCAAGACAGTGCGGTATACAAGCAATATACCTAGACAGTGCAGGTATACTATATACCAAGACAGTGCAGGTATACTATATACCGAACAGTGCAGGTATACTATATACGAACAGTGCAGGTATACAATATACTAGACAGTGTGGGTATACAATATACCAAGACAGTGCAGGTATACAATATACCAAGACAGTGCAGGTATACTATATACCAAGACAGTGCAGGTATACTATATACCAAGACAGTGCAGGTACATACTATATACCTAGACAGTGCAGGTATACAAGCAATATACCTAGACAGTGTAGGTATGCAATATACCAAGACAGTGCAGGTATACAAGCAATATACCTAGACAGTGCAGGTATACTGTACCAAGACGGTGCAGGTATACTATATACCAAGACAGTGCGGGTAGCATGCTATATACCAAGACAGTGCAGGTACATACTATATACCTAGACAGTGCAGGTATACAATATACCAAGACAGTGCAGGTATACAAAAGCAATATACCTGAACGGTGTAGGTATACAATATACCAAGACAGTGCAGGTATACAAGCAATATACCTAGACAGTGTGGGTATACTATATGCCAAGACGTGCAGGTATACAATATACCAAGACAGTGTAGATACAATATACCAAGACAGTGCAGGTATACTATATACCAAGACAGTGCAGGTATACAATATACCAAGACAGTGCAGGTATACTATATACCAATGACAGTGCAGGTATACAATATGCCTAGACAGTGTGGGTATACAATATACCAAGACAGTGCAGGTATACTATATGCAAGACAGTGCAGGTATACAATATACCAAGACAGTGTGGGTATACAATATACCAAGACAGTGCAGGTACTATATACCAAGAGAGTGCAGGTATGCAATATACCTAGACAGTGAGTATACAATATACCAAGACAGTGCGGGTTATGGTGCAGGTAGGGTACATGTCCTTGCCAACAGTGTGGTATATGGTAGGGAGTATACAGTGTCCTGTGCAAGACAGTGTAGGTATATGGTGCAGGTAGGGGAGTATACAGTGTCCTGTGTACCAAGACAGTGTAGGTATATGGTGCAGGTAGGGAGTATACAGTGTCCTGTGTACCAAGACAGTGTAGGTATATGGTGCAGGTAGGGAGATGCAGTGTCCTGTGTACCAAGACAGTGTGGGTATGGTGCAGGTAGGGAGTATACAGTGTCCTGTGTACCAAACAGTGTGGGTATACAGGTAGGAGTATACAGTGTCCTGTGTACAAGACAGTGTAGGTATATGGTGCAGGTAGGGATATACAGTGTCCTGTGTACCAAGACAGTGTAGGTATATGGTGCAGGTAGGGGAGTATACAGTGTCCTGTGTGCCAAGACAGTGTAGGTATATGGTGCAGGTAGGGAGTATACAGTGTCCTGTGTGCCAAGACAGTGTGGGTATATGGTGCAGGTAGGGGTATACAGTGTCCTGTGACTTAAGACAGTGTGGTATATAAGTGCAGGTAGAATTATACACAGGTATCACCTTGTGCCAAGACAGAGTGGAGTATATGGTGCAGGTAGGGAGTATACAGTGTCCTGTGTACCAAGACAGTGTGGTATATGGTGCAGGTGAAATTATACAGTGTCCTGTGTACCAAGACAGGTAGGTATATGGTGCAGGTGGGGAGTGGCAGTGTCATATTGTGCCAAGACAGTGTGTGGGTATGGTGCAGTAGGGGTAGCACAGTGTCCTGTGTGCAAGACAGAGTTGGTATGTGGTGCAGGTGGGGTATACAGTGTCCTGTGTACCAAGACAGTGTGGAGTGCTGTATAGTTGCAGTGGGGGTATGCAGTGTCCTGTGTGCAAGACAGAGTTCAGGGTATATGGTGCAGGAGTGAGGGGGTATACAGTGTCCTGTGTACCAGAACCCAGTATGGAGTATATGGTTGCAGGTGGGGAATTATCACAGTGTCCTGTGTGCCAAGACAGTGTGGGTATATGGTGCAGGTAGGGGGTATACGTGTCCTGTGTAAGACAGAGTGGTGCTACTGGGTTTTGGGTGGGGTTGCAAGACAGTGTGGGTAAACAGTAAAACAACTTGACCAAGGATAACTGTTGGCTGTTTACTTCAGGAGGATAATTTGTTTAGGCTTACACTAGTTTGTCTACAGCAGTACTGTAGTCAGTAATAGTTTGTCTACAGCAGTACTGTAGTCAGTAATAGTTTTGTACTGTAGTAGTAATAGTTTGTCTACAGCAGTACTGTAGTCAGTAATAGTTTGTCTACAGCAGTACTGTAGTCAGTAATAGTTTGTCTACAGCAGTACTGTAGTCAGTAATAGTTTCTTGCTAAATATAACAAACAGTACAGTACAGTTCGACTCTGGCTAGTGGATCACTGTACAACATTCCTTAGTTAATAACACATAAACTCCTCTCTTACTGTAGCTTCATCTGTTGTGTGTTTCATTGTTTTAACTTTGAATTATTTAATACTATTACTGTGGTAACTTGTTCCAGTAAAGAAGAAAGTGTTTATCAGTTGACTATTTAGATACAAACGTTTATTTAGACCTCTGGGCACAGTCAGTTGCTTCACTCTATCTGCCACACTTAACCAGTTGGCCGCGTGATCTCCTGCTATCATGTCCTCTCCGCCTGGTTTGTAGCTTGTGTGTTAGGGCTGAGTGCTGTACCATGATGAGTAGGAATAGTCCCAGAGCACTGTATGAGTGCCAACCAAAGAGACATTTAGGATTGTTATAAAGGCATTACTTCTATTTACTATATTATCCACAATTAATTCACCAGACCAACAAGAGTCAAGAGTTAGTCCAGGTATGTCACTAAGGCTACAGGTGAGACAGTATCGTGAATTCTTTGATTCTTTTAACGTTCCTCATTGATCTAAATAACTTTGTTTTGGTCTTTGCTGAATCATTGTAAACATATATGACAATTTTACTGGATTTATAAAAAAAAACATATGGTAATTAGAGTTATTGAGAAAGCACTAGTTAGAGGTGAATTAAGCATATACAGTACACACACAATTACTGCGATTGAATAATGTACTCAAGACTAGTTGATTTGTAAGTTTAGTCTGGCAAGGTGAAGGTAGCAAGTTCCAGTTGTGATGTAAGTTTAGGGTCAGTCTGTCTACCACCACACAATCACCTATAGCTGTGGTGTAAGTTTAGCATCAGTCAGTCTACACACACAATCACCTATAGCTGTGGTGTAAGTTTAGCATCAGTCAGTCTACCACCACAGTCACCTATTGTATTTACTCATCTTGATTTCATTTTTTACAGTCTAGGAACAACCTCACATTACCCAACTGGACACACGATGTCTTACCCCGTATGAAGGCCTTGTCAGACTTCGGTTTCGAATCGTTGCCAAATCAAAATTAAAACGTTTGAGAGCAGGTACAGTAATTGTTGCCATGTTTTAACCTTTTTTAATCCTGATGTTGGATTGTCCAGCAGTACTTCCTCTGCATTGTTCAGTGTTAGTTGGGCAAGAGGAACCATGTCACCTGTATTTGCTGGTGGGTGATTTTTTTTTCGAGAACCTTAATTATTTCCCATACACTGAAAAATATATCAGTTCTGAGCCTAATATATTGTATAAATTTAGCCTAATATTACAGAAAAGTTTAACCTGATCGTGAGAGTTATAACATGACCCGTCAGTGGCGTTTAAAGGATTCACTCAGTCACGCCATGGTGCTCACTGTGTTTGTGGAAGAATTAGGGGTCAAATTGCAGTACAGTATATATTTAGTAGCTATATACAGGATGTGTAATGTTTTTCATGGGTTAAAATTCACACACTTCCAGGGGCCATTTCTGGTGAACGATAACTACCTGGTCATGGTATTCTAACCTTGCCAGTAAGCTCCTTTATCCTGGGCTTGTCTACCATACTCCTAGATTCTTTCTTTATGTTGCCACTTTAAATCTATAAATTCTTGATGTAAATGAAGAGTTACAGATAAATTTCTTTTCATTTGCATCTGTTAATATACATGGCAGCATTGTTACAAGTTAGACTCTTCACTGTTGCCACATCTCTCTGGCCCTCTCCCTACTGTTCCAGGCTGAGCGGTGTTATGATTGTTTTTCAAATCATAAATTCTGGTAAATAAACGTAACTCTCTTCATTTCTTTTTACTCTGTTAGATGCTCACATAATCCTGTATACAGAATGTGCAAAAAAAAAAGTAATAGTACTGTAATTATCATAAGGTCAAAAACATAAAGGGAATAAACATTTCTTTGTGAGCGAGAGTTAGCACACTGAGCAAGGGAGGAGTGTAGTGTGGGAGTGCTGGTCTTAGGGAGTCTACTTGTTGAAAATGACCAATACGGTAATTTTCCTTTTGTTAGCATCTGTTTACATCGCTGGTGACATTGTTGTCAAGTTAGACTCATCACTGTAGCCACATCCTCCTAGTACTCTCTCTCTCCCAGGCTAAGCTGTGTTATGGTTATTTTCCAACTTTACATTTCTAACTTATGAATTGTGTAAAGTTAATATTTTATAATGATTCTCACAGCTATTGTATATGACACTGAAGTAACTTTATCCGATTCATATCTGTTTAAACCATAATGATTTAGTATTTGATTAATTTTATGTATTTTCCAGGTCCAATTATTAAGGAGATGAGAGATCACATGAACCAGAAGGCAGCAGGGACTTAACCAAACAGAAGATGTATATGTACTCTGCCCACGACACCACACTCTCCATACTGCTGCTGGGGCTGGGGGTCTTCAACAACTTAGCTCCCCCTTATGCTACCACAGTCCTCGTCGAGTTACACAAGATGGATGAACAATATTACGTAAAGGGTCGACGGATCGTTTTATGTGATGTTCTTGGTGTTTGATGTTGTGTGATGTTATGTTGAAGAATGTTACTTCTCTTGGGGTACTACTGAGCCTGGCCATAGAGTGGACAAATTTTTGAATAGATACCAAAATACGGCAGCTCTTCATATTGAACGATCTCTTGTAGTCTCTCTTGTCATTTCTTACAACCTCTCCCTCTGTACTTGTTGACCTGCCCCTGGCTCTCCAACTCCTGCATCTCTTGACCCAGTTACTCTCCTCCATTCTCTCCGCTTGCCTCAACCATCTCAGTCTGCCTCTACACAGAACTTTACCAATACACTCGGTTCCCAGACACATCGCACCAACCGAGGAACACTTGATCGTTATTCATCTTTCACAGTTAGGACAGTGATCCTATCTCTCATTTCATTAATTCTTATGGGGAAAAATAGCTGCTGTTGGTTGTTTCAGTCCTCATCTGTATTTTAAAGTACACTTTGTAACCCAACAAATAGTGGTAACTCCTGTACTGTAATAAGCTCTGATGTGGATAGTTCCTTTTTTTATTTAACTATTTATTTATTTATCATTTCATCCCTTGTCAGCTTACTAGCCATTTTGGGCAGTAGTTCTGTGCTTTGTTACTTAGTTATGACCTTTCTTGTCCAGTGGAATTCTTTGAATCTTGACTGTTGCTAGTTCAGTTGAGAATTTTTATCACATTTTTTGCTCAATATTTGATGCTTAATGCAATAGAAATAGCACCTGGAGAAATCTGCCATGTTTGATAGTGCCACACTGGATAACACCCTTCTCATATCTGTCTCAGGCCAAGATTTGAACCCAGGACACAGTAATGGTGAGTTAATGATGTGAGAACTTTACCAACAGATGTTCTTGAGGAATGACACCAATATGATTGAGCCGCCACACGAGCTGATATTACCGGGCTGTTCCACCGTGTGCCCCCTCGACAGATGGAACACTCTGGTCAACGCCATCATACCGCACGACTGGAAGAGAGAGTGTGGTGTGTCCGAACCTTTTAAACTGTCTACCGGAGCACTAGCAGGTTGGTCTTCTTAGCCTTTTGTTGGGTTGTAATGTGATCATGATTTTAATTTGATGTATATAAAATTTGTCTCGATGTACAAAATTCGTCTTGATCTCCACGATTTGTCTTGATGTACACGGTTGGTCTTGATGTACATGGTTGTTCTTGGTGTACAGTACAGTAAAGCCTCGAATAACAACGGTAATGTGTCCTCCAATATTGCAGTGTAAGATGAAGCATCGTATCGTGAATCATTAATTATCATTAAAATAAAACAATAATAATGAGGTGTGTTCCCTAGTGTGACCTTTTCATATCTTTTGTGTGGCTTTTTACCCCCTTTTCCTCCGAAAAACAATACAATTAATGAAAATTGCAAAATATATTCTTTAAATTATGTTTCTGAATGCACATTATACAATATAAATGAATAATAATATGGTCACACAAGAGGAGATGGGACGCTGTTTTTTTGTTAGTGAAGATGGTTCTACTGAAGACAATAAGACCCTGGTTGAGGCTGTAGTGAACTGAATGTAAAAAAATGAATATGTGTGTTTTAAGTAATGTTATTTAATGTTAATAAATGGAACAATAGAAGTAGATAACCACTAATGGTAAAGACAAAAGCGAGAATGTGCTGCGCTGACATGTGTAAGTGCGTATGTGTGAAAACATATCATAATTTTTCTACATAAGAATATGAAAGCAACACTTATTACTGTTCATATATGTTTTAAATAATACTTACGAATGTAAAACAAAAAATTCTACTGACCAATGGTGGTAAATCTAAAACATAAGGACAGCCAATGATGTGTGAGGTTTTACTCAGATGACGAAGTCATCAGGTTCAACTCTGGCTGAAGCTGTAGTTTTCCATAAAGCTGTTGCTGAAACTGTTACTGAAGCTGAAGTTATTATGATGCTGAATTTGATGGTGTAGATGAGGTTGATGGTTTAGGCCTTCGAGTACAGTAATAAAGCTGTCAAAAGAACCTTACACAGCTGCTTTCTTCTCTCTTAATACATCTTTATGTAGAGGTCATATGTGTTTTTCATGTCCATGTTAATATTAATGCTTTGGTCTGTTAATGGATCCACTTCAGAAAATATATTCATTGTTTGTTCCATATAATATCCACAGACCTCTCACCTTTTTCATTTTGTTTTAACACATCTAGTTTGTCGGCTAAGCTTATACAGTACACTTTCTATTAGCTTTTGAACCAGCACTACCATCACTTGCTCTCTTGCTCGTGTTGAATAGGGACGCAAAAAATGCCGTAAGGAACCTGAGAAAGTTTTTCTCCTTTTCCTGTTCAGATGCGTGAAAACAAAAGGCCTGCCAGCTGTCACTGTTTATACTAGTGATGCTGGCGTCACCACTCACAAGCTTAGCAGCCTTCGTGCGCAAGGCGTGTTTTTTTGTTGTTTTTTATAATACATATCGGGATTTTATTTATTATTTATATGAAAATTTGTGTTTTTTCGCTGTAAATATGAAGAAAATAACGGCGTAAATTGAATGGGGTCTTAAATATGAACCGTTGTTATCAGAGACTTTACTGTACACAACTGTTCTTGACGTACACGAAGACAGTGAATGGTTGAGACTGTGAGTGTGATGTCTGTGTGTTCAAAAGGATTTAATTGGCTCTGCAGTATTTTCCAAAATATTTATAGATGATGAAACAGTTTTATACACACACCTGGAACATTTCTAACAATTTTTATTTCAATAATATCAACAGTGGTAACTTAAACTATGGGAAGAAATAGAGTGTAATTTATTTTTTGGAAGAAGGTAAAATGTAATTTTTTTTGCTTATACAGTGACCCCTCGTTTAACGAACACCTCGGTTAACGTAATTTCGATTAACGAACTGCCTTCCATAAGGATCTTCAATTCGGTTAACGAAAAAAAATTCGGTTAACGAAGTTCTTACGAACCGACCTCAACATGTTTTCGCTTGCACTGACCGGGCAACCAGCTTTAGTATCAGTCCGCCAATACATTAATCGGTTCTAGGGCTTAAATTCCTTACTATTTTAGTAATATCAAGAAGTTTATACTATTCAATAATTTTAAAAGTTTAATATTAAATTTTTTAGTCATTTTAACAATTATTGAACATAATTGAAGGTAAAGTGACTAGTTTAATGCGGCATCCAGCCTCTTAACACAGCAAACAGGAGTTAGTCTCTCTCTGTTTTCACTGGAGGTAACATCTTGCTTGAGACTCTCTTCAACTAAACGCTTTTTTTCTGTGTTTCCAAGCAAATTATTGGTCATTTTGAAATATATTTTATATATTGACAATATATAATGCAGTGCAGCGTTGATTTAAAGAAAATAATCTTGAATTAAACCAGAGAGCTAAAATTTTATGGGTGAAATGGCACCATGGGGTGACTTCTCTTCCACCCCAATGCCTTCTCTTCTTCCTTCTCCTCCACCCCCATTCTAATTCCCATCATCATCATCATCATCATCCAGGAGCCTTCTACATACACACCTCAAAGTAAGTGAACTTTTCTACCATTTTTGTTGAATTTAGGAAATTTTCGGTGAGCTGGAACCAATTACCCAAAAACCCATTGAAACAATGGTTTCGGTTAACGAACTTTTCGGTTAACGAACGACCTTCTAGAACGGATTGAGTTCGTTAACGGAGGGGTCACTGTATTTGGATGAATATAAAATGGTCTTTACTTATACTCATCAGAACACACTCTTGTTTTTTGTTTATCATATCTTTTATTTTCTTAAGTGATTCATTACATCAATAAGTATTTATAATCACTGTTGAAATACCATAAATATCAATTCATCGAGGGAAAATTTGCTTCGGTAAAAAAAAAACCTTTGCTGGGCGGTAAATATTCCTGATTCCGGTCGACCACGAGGGGAGGGGGGGAGATGGACGGGGAATATGAGAGTGTTATGACTTGGGTAAATCATCCCTTCAGAAGTAAGCTTAGCGACAGAGTTCTTTCTCATTGTCGTCGTTCACAGTAAGCCACAGAGATGTTTGTTGATAGTGTATATAGTGAAACCTCTGTATAATGGACTCCTCTCTCTATATAATCTGTTAGTTAGGGTTTCATATCTAATGGAACCTCAATATAATGGACTTTCATCTCTATATAGTTCATTAGATGGAGGTTTTACATTTAATGGACTCGATATAATGGACTTTCATCTCTATATAGTTCATTAGATGGAGGTTTTGTATATAACGGACTCTCGATATAATGGACTTTCATCTCTATATAGTTCATTATATGGAGGTTTTGCATATAATGGACCCTCGATATAATGGACTTTCATCTCTATATAGTTCATTAGATGGAGGTTTTGTATATAACGGACTCTCGATATAATGGACTTTCATCTCTATATAGTTCATTAGATGGAGGTTTTGCATATAATGGACCCTCGATATAATGGACTTTCATCTCTATATAGTTCATTAGATGGAGGTTTTGCATATAATGGACCCTCGATATAATGGACTTTCATCTCTATATAGTTCATTAGATGGAGGTTTTGCATATAATGGACTCTCGATATAATGGACTTTCATCTCTATATAGTTCATTAGAGGGAGGTTTTACATTTAATGGACTCGATATAATGGACTTTCATCTCTATATAGTTCATTAGAGGAGGTTTTACATTTAATGGACTCGATATAATGGACTTTCATCTCTATGTAGTTCATTAGATGGAGGTTTTACATTTAATGGACTCGATATAATGGACTTTCATCTCTATATAGTTCATTAGAGGGAGTTTTACATTTAATGGACTTTATAATGGACTTTCATCTCTATATAGTTCATTAGAGGGAGGTTTTGCATATAATGGACTCTCGATATAATGGACTTTCATCTCTATATAGTTCATTAGAGGGAGGTTTTACATTTAATGGACTCGATATAATGGACTTTCATCTCTATATAGTTCATTAGAGGGAGGTTTTGCATATAATGGACTCTCGATATAATGGACTTTCATCTCTATATAGTTCATTAGAGGGAGGTTTTACATTTAATGGACTCGATATAATGGACTTTCATCTCTATATAGTTCATTAGATGGAGGTTTTACTGTATGCTGTCAGTGTGGTATATTTTACGAGGTTTATCTTCTTCCGTGGAGCTATAATATAATTTATTTACCTTTATTGTATTAAACTTAATCGAATGGTTGATTTTTGTGAAGAGAGAGAGAGAGGATGTATGGAGACAGATGAACAGATTGTGTTAGGTCTCGCCACACACACACACACACACACACACACACACACACACACACAGTGTGGTTTAAGTCTGTGTCTACAAGTTATCGGAGGCTCTTAGTTTAGACGCTAAAATGCTGTATTGAGGAAAGAGAAACTTGGTGACAGTTGACTAGAATTTATCTTTGCATAATTCAGGCAACAATACAATGGTCAGGGTTTCAATTTACATGGCAGATTTACATTTAACAGTTGAGGCTTCAATTTACACTCAGATTTACATTTTAGAACAGCCAAGGATTCAGTTTACACATATATTCTTACCTAAAATGAAATCATAAACATTCTATCAAAATTGTGTTTATTTCCTTGCATAGGTTGACGGTACATCTGAGCTGCTCGTTGAGTTGTAAACACACTAGGGAGACCGTCGTTAGAAACAATACAATTAAATACTTTCCTGCTGAAACTAGCGATGGTCGTTGATGGTTTGTTAGGAAGCCGCTTGTTAGAGACTTAACCAGGTATTTTATCGATGTAAGTAATGGTATGGCTAGTGTTGTGCATATTGTATGGCTATTTAAAGACCGTTTGGCTATATAATTATGGCTATGTCTCTTGTATATAAGTGATTGTGTTGAAGTGTACCAGCCATCACCAACACCTGAACTAACACCGTACATTTAGACCAGTAGTGTTAATATAGAAGTACTTTGTTGTAATGGTGCTGGTGTGTTCCTCGTGGTTAAATATAGATTAGACAGAAGAAGAATTACCAGTAGTGTGTGTGGACAGAGAGTGTATGTAGAGAGAGTCCTGTCTGTCTGTTTGCCTGTGTATGTTGTAGTGTGTATGTGTGTGTGTGTGTGGTATTTAATCATGCATGTGTACTTAATCATGTGTATATGTGTGTGTGTGTGTGTGACAGGGAATGTGGTCACCATCATCCTGCCAACAATTCCTGTGGCTTCCATTATGTCTCCCACCATTTCAGAGCTTCGAGCAGTCTTTCCACTCCTTTTAAGTTTTATGCTTTCTTCACCCATCCGCTTTCAATCCTTGGGCACGGCTTCTGTATTGGTTCTTCCGCTGCCCCTGTCCCATTTCATTCTCTTTCAGCAATCAATTGTAATGTTGTCTCCAGATTATCATCAATTTCCACATTTTCATATCATTTCTCACCTATTGATCTTTAACTAAGTCCTTGTGTTAACTCTCTGTATTTAACTTGGTGTTCTGTATATTGTACAGTTGCCTGCACATGCCTGGTACAGTGGCTGGTGCATTTTATGAGATGTGGCAACTATGTGTTTGTTTACATCGCATTAAAACTCCCGAAATGACCCCTGAGGAACATTGCAATAGTAGCCAGACTAAAGTTACTCGATAAGCATTTCCACAGAGTTGCCACATCTCACAAAACCCACCAGTCACTGTACCAGGTGTAATTGCAGGCAAGTGTACCCACATTATGTGACCCACTCACAGACAGCCCATACACTACCCACAGTACCTGACCCATTAACTGACAGCCCATGCTATCTGACAGACTGTACTTCTGGTGATTACAGAACACCCACATTAACTGACAGGTGGCCCAGCTGACAGTCTCTGGCCATGAAGATGCTGCACGGCCACGTTCGCTGTTTCGTAAGTTATTTCACCTGAAAATTAAGCACCCCAACTTATTGCACCTGAAGATTAAGCACCCCGAACTTACTTCACCTGAAGATTAGACACCCCAGCTAAGGTTAGATTTGATTATGTTAGGTTAGAACAGATTATGTTAGATTCTGTTAAATTTAGTTAGGTTAGGTAAGCAGTAGAGTGTTTAACCATCGGATGAAATAAGCGGGAATTCCAAATGTTCGCGAGATTCCTTTAGCACGTAATTGCACGATAACAATATAACCTCGATATAGTGAAACACGGGGGATTAGTTACAAAGGCGGCGACGGTATATTGTGGGGAGCGAACGTGTACAAGAGGGTTGAGTTTGAGAGTGGCAGAACTAGTGTAGGGTTTTGTGTTCTGAAGGACAATGTGGACGGTGAGACTTATAACCAGGAGGGAGTCTCTCTCTCTCTCTCTCTCTCTCTCTCTCTGTGTGCGTGCGTGTGTGCACGTGTGTGTGCGCTTTATGGTCTGACTAGCAAGACATAACATACGATACAGCTTTACCTTTATAATAAATACAGCTCATTTTTCTATATCTTAGAAGCCTTGAGCACTGTTTTAATGTGTAGTCGATAGGACTTATACACAGGTTGGTTCCCCTTGAGCACTGTTTTAATGTGTAGTCGATAGGACTTATACACAGGTTGGTTCCTATCTCTGAAAGTTACTAATGTTGATGAGTGGAGGAGCAGGTGTATACGTCACAAGCATCAGAACTAATCATGAGTGACACACACAGACCTGGGATCTAGAACTTGATTGTCAAAGTAATTGTAAATAGTTAATGCTTTCCAGGTGATGAGAATATACTGAAGATATTATTATTTTTTTAACATTATGAACTGGAGTGAAAATGATGGGATGTTCCCCTGACAGACAGCTGGTTGTGTGAGAGGTTTACAGTATGTGGCATATTGTTGGTTGACTTTTGACTTGTTGATTAAGATACAATAATAATGATAATAATAATACCTATAGTAATAATAATAGTAATGTTAGTAATAATAATAACAATAAAAATGATGATAGTAATAATAATAATAATATTTGTTAATTAAAAATGTCATACAGATTTACATTCAGCTCAGCATGTATATAGACAGTGCAGATATACCGTATACATTACATAGACAGTTCAGGTACAGTATATACTACCTAGAGTCCTAGACAGTACTGTACAGGTAGACAACACCGTTAAGATGATTATTTTACGAAGATACTTGTCAGAATCTATTAAGGCCCGGGTAATAATATTGAGACATTCATTTGTTTTTTGCATCTGATTTCCTACAACAGATAACCCTAATGTGCCTTAGGAGGTGTGACTCAGTACTTGATCCTTTTACTGACAACTGTGGTTTGGTCTCAACACCTTCATTATAAACAGGGATGCCATTTATATTTGTATTTATCTAACACCAGATAGTTTTATTCAGCTCAGAGGGATTCATACACAAGGGGTTAAAATTATTTGTTCCTCCTCATTAGAAATGTTGATTGGCAGTAAAGGTTGTCCCCTAGAGGCTGGAGCCGTCTAGCTATTGGTCACGCTGGAGAGTAGGATTTAACTACCAATCCCTCGTGTATAAACAAGTCGTAAGCAGTTGACAGTTATAGGTCCTGACATGACGCAATCTATCATTAGGGCCGAGAGTGTTTAATAATAAGGCTTATTATGGTAGAGTTTAAGGAGTATTAAGAGTAGGACCTAAGTAAAAGACCCTCATATCACTTTATTTTACAGTACAGTATATCAGGTAATTCTGTTGTCCTTGAGAAGAAACCTTTGACTTGAAATAATCTCTCGGTATTGACATGTGCCGGGGTAATTATGGCATCTGAGTGGTTGATGTATTTATCTCTGCGTTTTCCCGGAGAACTCGTAACTTGAGCCGTGTGTGACGTGGAGAGTAACACAGACATTTCCTCCTCAGGTTTAACTGCCGGCATCCTCCTGGCCGTGATCCTGCTGGTGGCGTTAATCAAGAACGTACTTGGATGTAAACGAGGATCCCACCAGTTTGAATACCAAACCGTCCCAAACAACTACTCTTAACAACAACTACTTAAAACTTTTTTTAAGCTTTATTATCGGGGTTTGAGAATTGCCGTATACTGTAGTTGTATTGATCGTATACGCTACGCGGGTCTACTGTATGGAAGACTGTTTGTATATATTTTCTTGCTCTTGGGTTGCATTGGGATTTTCAGACAGATTTATTTTATTATTATTTTACCTCATCTTGAAACGCCAGGTGAAGGGGTCGGAAAGTGTTGTGGATTTTAGTCAATTATTTTTAAACCCGGGTTGTGTATCACGGGGCGAGAAACAGGCCGTCGATGTGAGGCTTAGACCTTCTCCCCTCGATGGTTGAGATTTACCACCAATCACGGAAGAGGGTGGTGTCTTAATGGGTGATCGAACTGATTGATTCACCACACCAAAAAACTGTTTTCGTTTCAGTCTCGCTCTGTTTGTAGCGTGTTGGTTGTGAGGACGATATGCGTTAGGCTTCTCTATTTGTTTCTTTGGAATCTTTTTATTATTATTATTATTTTTAGTGAGTTGAGGTTTGGCTCTGAGGAGGAAGGAGAACCTGGGCTAAAAGATTTGTCTCTTTGTAAAGTTATTTTTAAACCCAGTTATTAATATATTATATATTGATGAAAAAGCTTTAAAGATTGATTGGAAAAGATTGAATTGATTGAAAAAGCTTTAAAGATTGATTGTAAAAGATTGAATTGATTGGAAAAGCTTTAAAGATTGATTGGGAAAGATTTAAATGATTGGAAAAGCTTTAAAATTTGATTGGAAAAACATTAGATTGTGATTTTGCAGGATGTGTATTTCACCCATAAGGACGTGTGTGTGTTGAGTTACATTTGTGTATGTATCAGTTTTTGTGTTCTAATGTATTATTCTGTTTGGTTGTATATTTATATTATTGGTGTATTTATATTTTATCGGTGTACAGTAATATCTCCGTTGCCGGAATCCCTCAGACCCGGAACTCTCCGACAGCCGGAATTGAAATTTTCTCGGAAAATTCTGAGAAAATTTTCCCAATACCCGGAAAATTCCGGGGATGGGGGATATTTTTCCGGGTTCGAGAGAGTCGTCTCGTTACTTAGAAATCTCTCATTCCCGGAATAGCTCTGCACCAATTGTCAGGCTAACGGACATATTACTACAGTATTTCTATTTTATTGATGTATTTATATTTTATTTATTTTTATTATATGATAGATAACTTCAGGCTAATAAGTTACTTTATTCACTGTGTTGTTACCAGTGGTGTAAACATTGGTGTGTCGGTGTATCCTCAAAGATATTTAATACTGGGATATATCTTGTTGACTGAGTGTTTATAGAGCACTAAATGACAACATCTGAGTGTGTGTGTTGTTTTAATATATACCTGTATTAGTATTATTACTTGGTCTATGTTTAAGTAGCTTGTAAAAAAGTCATTTATCATGTTTGTTCATGCAGTAAGTCATTGAAGGTTGGCAGACGAGGAACACCAAGTCGTGATCAATCAAGTATCATAGTTTTGACCAAAGGAACATAGTTTTGACCCAAGGAACATAGTTTTGACCCAAGGAACATAGTTTTGACCCAAGGAACATAGTTTTGACTCAAGGAACATAGTTTTGACCCAAGGAATATAGTTTTGACCCAAGGAACATAGTTTTGACCCAAGGAACATAGTTTTGACCCAAGGAACATAGTTTTGACCCAAGGAACATAGTTTTGACTCAAGGAACATAGTTTTGACCCAAGAACATAGTTTTGACCCAGGAACATAGTTTTGGCCAAAGGAACATAGTTTTGACCCAAGGAACATAGTTTTGACCCAAGGAACATAGTTTTGACCCAAGTAGTTTTGACCGAGGAACATAGTTTTGACTAATTTTTGACCGAAGGAACATAGTTTTGACGAGAAGGAATATAGTTTTGACCCAAGGAACATAGTTTTTTACCAGGAACATGACAGGCAGTGAGAGGACAAGACTGACTGTGATTGAAGTGGAGGAGGAGTGATTGAAGTGGGGGAGGGGTGTTTGAAGTAGAGGAGGGGTGTTTGAAGTAGAGGAGGGGTGATTGAAGTGGAGGAGGGGTGATTGGGTCACTGAACAAGGTGTGTAACTTACATCTGTCAATCTGTGGTGTCTGATTTAACTGTGGTATGTCTTGGCTCTACTGAAGGTGCCTCAACTTTTATCTGAAAGCACGAGACGGACTCTGTGTTTACGTCAAGACAACTGGTGATACGACTTAAACGTATTATTTATTTTTTGGGCCTCATATTTTGTAATAGTTGTAATTTGATTTGATTCGTGGTTTCATATTATTATTATTATTGTTGCAAAAGTAATTTATTTTTTTATGGTAATTCATCACATAAGCTTAAAATTTGTGTCATGAAGTCAACAGGATAATACATCACATGAGCTTAAAGTCTTTCTCATGAACTAAAGAGATTGATTCATCCCCAGCTTCTAAGATTCATGAAACACTACTATAATATTTTTTTTAATGACAAACACAAGTGAACATTATTTCGTGAATAGGAAGAACAATTATTCTATGGCATTAATCATCACATCAAACTATATCTTGGCCGTTTGTGGCATATCTTACGGAGGAGTTTTATTTTTATCGTGTATTTTACTGTTCGAGGTGTGTGTGTGTCAGTCAGTGGTAGATATGTAAACATTCAACCTCTGTGTCTGTACCAAAGTCTGAGACACCTGAGACACAGTCATATATAGGGTGTGTGAGACAGTCATATATAGGGTGTGTGAGACAGTCATATATAGGGTGTGTGAGACAGTCATATATAGGGTGTGTGAGACAGTCATATATAGGGTGTGTGAGACAGTCATATATAGGGTGTGTGAGACAGTCATATATAGGGTGTGTTAACAGTCATATATAGGGTGTGTGAGACAGTCATATATAGGGTGTGTGAGACAGTCATATATAGGGTGTGTGAGACAGTCATATATAGGGTGTGTGAGACAGTCATATATAGGGTGTGTGAGACAGTCATATATAGGGTGTGGTGAAAGAATAAAGTTTACTGGTAGATGTATGTGGATAGTGTCAACTAGTCACTGTAATTGTATGTGGATGGTGTCAACCAGTCACTATAATTGTATGTGGATAGTGTCACCCAGTCACTATAATTGTATGTGGATAGTGTCAACCAGTCACTATAATTGTATGTGGATAGTGTCAACCAGTCACTATAATTGTATGTGGATAGTGCCAACCAGTCACTATAATTGTATGTGGATAGTGTCAACCAGTCACTATAATTGTATGTGGATAGTGTCAACCAGTCACTATAATTGTATGTGGATAGTGTCAACCAGTCACTATAATTGTATGTGGATAGTGCCAACCAGTCACTATAATTGTATGTGGATAGTGTCAACCAGTCACTATAATTGTATGTGGATAGTGTCAACCAGTCACTATAATTGTATGTGGATAGTGTCAACCAGTCACTATAATTGTATGTGGATAGTGTCAACCAGTCACTATAATTGTATGTGGATAGTGTCAACCAGTCACTATAATTGTATGTGGATAGTGTCAACCAGTCACTATAATTGTATGTGGATAGTGCCAACCAGTCACTATAATTGTATGTGGATAGTGCCAACCAGTCACTATAATTGTATGTGGATAGTGTCAACCAGAATACCACTCAGCTCCTACAAAACCCTGCCATATTATTTATGTTAAACTGGTACTTTTAACCTTGATAAAATGTATGAGAAATGGTTAATATAGGTGACATAGTTCACTAGTAATGGGTTATAAATATAGTCTATGTAACTGTGCGATTGTAATAGATTCTGGGTGTATGGTAGCAGGATTTTCTGCGACGAGGAGTATTGACCATTATTTCTGGTTTGGGCCATATTACAATTCACCGCCAGGGGTGGGGGTGTTATTGTGTTAGCGTATAATATTCTTATGTATTGATTGATGAATGAAGTAAAGGTAGTTCCAGATATTTAAGAGGTATTTGTTTTATGAAATTCCTAAGTTCAACGAAAAATAAAATAATTAAAGGTTTCTTGATGTGGTTTTTGTTCAGAATATCCAAAGGTACAATTTCTTTTTTTTTTTTTAAGTGATGAAACTATGGTACAATAATGCACACACACACACACTCACTCACTCACTCATCATTCTCCTATCATCACATAACTTACTCATCAAACTCATTGTAGAGTAGACAAGTAGATTCATCTCCAGCAAGTTACTCGGCCTCATTCTCCAACTTCCCCTTATTTACCCTTGTGTAATATGTGGATAATTAAATAAAAAGCAATTGTGTATTCTTAAATCACTGGTTGGGTTAGGTTAGGTTATGTACAATAAAGATGTAGATTTGTAATAAAAGTGTTGAACAATTTGTAGGTGTGGATAATGCCGCCAATACACCAGTGAACGGTGACACCGTTTACACCCACGTCTTGGGGAAACAAACCAGCAGGAATTTACCAGGACTCATTAACTCGTCAAGGTAACGCACGGATTTTATTTATTTTATTTTATTTTTTGTGTCTGGAGAATGTACCAATGTCTTCAAATGGGGGTCGGTGTTTTACTGTACCTTTACCATGTTAAAACCGGCAGTCCCAGAGTTACGACCACCCTAACTGACAAACAAGACCCAAATGCTGTAAAAATATTATATTCACCGTAACAATCTGTTACAAAGAGATAATTTACTTATTTTTTTTTTACGTTATTTTCATTATTGTATATTGTTTACCATCAGTTTATTTAGTGTTTACATTATTTGTTATGTCTGGGATGATGTTGTTTTGTATGGGTAGGATTGTGGTCTAACTTAACCTCAACTATAGAATTAACACTTTCAACCTACCAACAGGATCATCACCCAAGGTCTAACTTAACCTAAACTATAGAATTAACACTATCAACCTGCCAACAGGATCATCACCCAATTGTGACTCTGGGACTGCCTGTGTATTCATTTTACACAGCTTATTAGATTAGTGTTTCATATTGTTAATTTTGTTTCATATCTCACCTGGTTTTATGTGAGTACCTGTATTAGTACAGTACTGTTTAGAATTATAACTGTGCTGTGTTGTGCCGCTGTGTTTAAATTTAGCGTACAGTGGTCCCTCGGTTAACGAGCACAATTCGTTCCAGAAGGTTGCTCATTAACCGAAAAATTCGCTAACCGAAACCATTGTTTCAATGGGTTTTTGGGTAATTGGTTCCAGCTCACAGAAAATTACATACAAACTAAAAATAAATGCAGTAAATTACACTTTCTTTGAGGTGTGTATGTAGAAGGCTCCTGGATGATGATGATGATGATGATGGGATTTAGAATGGGGGTGGAGGAGAAGGAAGAAGAGAAGGCATTGGGGTGGAAGAGAAGTCACCCCATGGCGCCATTTCACCCATAAAATTTTAGCTCTCTTGGTGTAATTCAAGATTATTTTCTTTAAATCAACACTGCACTGCATTATATATTGTCAATATGTAAAATATATTTCAAAATGACCAATAATTTGCTTGGAAACACAGAAAAAAAGCGTTTAGTTGAAGAGAGTCTCAAGCAAGATGTTACCTCCAGTGAAAACAGAGAGCTCACTGGATGCCGCATTAAACTAGTCACTTAACCTTCAATTATTCAATATTGTTAAATGACTAAAAATTTAATATTAAACTTTTTAAAATTATTGAATATAGTCAATACGACTCAAAAAATTTAATATTAAACTTTTTAAAAATTATTGAATATACAATGAACCACACAAAAAGCTCATTCATATTTCCGCTACTAAATTGTCTGCTGACTTTTGGAGAATTAACTTCGACAGCATCTAGTGGGAGTGAATTAACTGGACAGCATCTAGTGGGGAGTGAATTAACTGACAGCATCTAATGGGAGTGAATTAACTGGACAGCATCTAGTGG